AAGAGCTCTTCAGTATGTATGCAATCTCATTCAAAGTTTTCTTGGACTGTATCAGGAAGCAGAAGACTGATGAGGCTTAGGACGTAAACCTGGAGGTCCATTACCCTTTGTGATACTCCACGGATGCATATGTTGGTTCATCTTGTATGGTTCACCAAATCTTCTATTTGGAGGGTGAGGGATTCTTGGAGAGTCTTAATGAGGGTCATTATGAGCCAGTTCATCGTGCTTAGTTCTAGCATATCTGTTCGATCACCTAGGTCCGCAATCTGATCTGAGCTTGTAGGAGATTACATGGTTTAGGATATTTCAGTCTGTATACTGTAGCATTGGAGACATTGCCATACAGGTTCTCCAGGCTCTGCTCAAGGTCTAGTTTTTTTGCGAGATTCCACTCTCAGGATTTGGATTGCAGGAGAGTTAAAGAGGGGTTGAGAGAGAGGGGAGGGAGGCAAGGCCCCAGGATGGCCATGCTGCTCCATCTTGGATCATTTTTGTAACCCTGAGTCAAAGTTGCGGTTTGATATCCATTTCCATTTAGATTCACCTCAACAGGATCACCATACTACCCGTGGAGATGGGCCAGATCAGACTACTAATGCCCATGTGAATGGGGCCTAGAAGTGGATTTTATAGGAACACTGCCAGAAGGTCTGTTGTACTCTAAGACCTTTTTTTTTTATACACAGATACCTTTGAGCCCTTGTCAGGGCCAATCTGGTTTTTCCTGTACTCTTGTGTTTTTTTAAGAGACAGATAAAAAACAGATCCATTGTCTCCCTAAAAGGAAACTGATGTTGATGGATGTAAATCAGTCACCATTGGTTTCCCCATGCTGAATTACTATGCTCTGCTTTTATATCCGTCTCTTGACGGATGAAAGATGTATATCCAAGGCGTCCTTGTGAAAAGATGCCAAAAATTTCTGAATTTGATGTGGCGGTTACACATGGCAAAAGAATTGCTGCTCGCAAAGGCGAATGCGGTCTGCGTCTTTCCTGAGGCATCTATGCGCCAAAAAGTAGATAATGAATTCTTCCATGAAGGTCAAAAGGAGGAGCTACATGCTGTAAAGCACCCTATTGGATGGTTTACAACACGAGCAGTCCTGAATTTATGGCTGATTAGTAAAATGCTACATTAGATCATCCAGTTCTTGGCCATATCTGATCACCTGTCCATGGTCATCCTTCCTTTAGTCCTCACATTATAAGGCTGTTAGTAAATATGCAGAAGATTGAAAAAAAAGATTGTACTATCAACATGTGACTCACTCTGCGACTTTGTATTTCCCAGATGTGTTCACTACAAGAATGTGCGTCTGTCTGCTGCACTATGAGCTCAAACATCATTAATATTCGTCTCATCGCTCTTCTGACCTATGTACACACTGAACACACACAGCCAGGGAAAAGGGCAGATGAAATCACTACTCACATTTCTTATTAACCCAGTTATCTTATTACCTATAAATCTTATCATCCCTGTAATATCTTATTACAGTAACCCGGCTCCTGAGTGTCATATTACCCTGTAATATCTTATTACAGTAACCGGGCTCCCGAGTGTCTTATTCCCCCTGTAATATCTTATTACAGTAACCTGGCTCCTGAGTGTCATATTACCTGTAATATCTTATTACAGTAACCCGGCTCCTGAGTATTCCCCCTATAATATCTTATTACAGTAACCCAGCTCCCGAGTGTCTTATTCCCCTGTAATATCTTATTACAGTAACCCGGCTCCTGAGTGTCTTATTCCCCCTGTAATATCTTATTACAGTAACCCAGCTCCCGAGTGTCTTATTCCCCTGTAATATCTTATTACAGTAACCCGGCTCCCGAGTGTCTTATTACCCCCGTAATATCTTATATTACAGTAACCCGTCCCGAGTGTCTTATTCCCCCTGTAATATCTTATTACAGTAACCCGGCTCCCGAGTGTCTTATTCCCCTGTAATATCTTATTACAGTAACCCGGCTCCCGAGTGTCTTATTCCCCTGTAATATCTTATTACAGTAACCCGGCTCCCGAGTGTCTTATTCCCCTGTAATATCTTATTACCCCCGGCTCCCGAGTGTCTTATTACCCCCTGTAATATCTTATTACAGTAACCCGGCTCCCGAGTGTCTTATTCCCCTGTAATATCTTATTACGGTAACCCGGCTCCCGAGTGTCTTATTCCCTGTAACCCGGCTCCCGAGTGTCTTATTACCCTGTAATATCTTATTACAGTAACCCGGCTCCCGAGTGTCTTATTCCCCCTGTAATATCTTATTACAGTAACCCGGCTCCCGAGTGTCTTATTACCCCTGTAATATCTTATTACGGTAACCCGGCTCCCGAGTGTCTTATTACCCTGTAATATCTTATTACGGTAACCCGGCTCCCGAGTGTCTTATTCCCCCTGTAATATCTTATTACGGTAACCCGGCTCCCGAGTGTCTTATTACCCTGTAATATCTTATATTCCCCTGTAACCCGGCTCCCGAGTGTCTTATTCCCCTGTAATATCTTATTACAGTAACCCGGCTCCCGAGTGTCTTATTCCCCAGTAACCCGGCTGTAATTCCCCCTGTAATATCTTATTACGGTAACCCGGCTCCCGAGTGTCTTATTCCCCCTGTAATATCTTATTACGGTAACCCGGCTCCCGAGTGTCTTATTCCCCCTGTAATATCTTATTACGGTAACCCGGCTCCCGAGTGTCTTATTCCCCCTGTAATATCTTATTACGGTTATTACCCCTGTAATATCTTATTACGGTAACCCGGCTCCCGAGTGTCTTATTCCCCCTGTAATATCTTATTACGGTAACCCGGCTCCCGAGTGTCTTATTCCCCCTGTAATATCTTATTACTGTAACCCGGCTCCCGAGTGTCCTATTACCCTGTAATATCTTATTACAGTAACCCGGCTCCTGAGTGTTTTTGTTATTTTTTCTTATTTGTCCCAGTTAGAAAGATTTCTCAGTGAAAATGGCATGGTAATAAAACCCTGCAGACGATCCAACGCTTCCCAGTCTATCCATAGTTTTTAAAAGCATCCTAGAGTTAGCCTTTGTAATACAGAGATATATATATTCTACAACAGCAGACATAGTTTTATCTGGAGTTCAGAGTACAATATATTGCAGCCCACCTGTTCTTAGAGGAGATGGTTGCATTCGTCTTTATATTCAGCAAATACAGATAATACTTGTTGCTCTGACCAGCAATGCGGTGTCCTCGTCACTTCCTGTGAGCTGAAAAGACAGCAAAAACAATAACGGACAATCATTCATCCAATGTTCTCAACATGTATATGGGGTTTAGTGTGCTAGGCAGGCCATAGATTATGCAATTTTCTTTCCTTCTATCACAGGTAAAAGTAAAGGAAATCGCTCAGTTCCCCCAACAACACAGTCAGTGTTGGTGGGGGAATCCCTCCCTCAGTGCTATTGTGTTCTGCCAGTAGGGTGCCTTCCCAGCCGGCAGAGCACAGTGATTAGTGTTGCCGGCTAATAATCGGTTCTGCCGGCACTAATTGTCTTCGAAAAACACAACAGGCTGCTTGTACCAAAGTTGATTGATAGACAAAAGTGTAAGCTCTCTGTCTATATTCTATGGGCAGAAAAGTATATGCAATGGAAGAGACTGACCAACAGCTGGCTGTGTGAGCAGCTGTTAACTGACCACACGTGTAAGGGGGCCCTCCACCTTCCGCCACCAGTGTAAGGGGGCCCTCCACCTTCCGCCACCAGTGTAAGGGGGCCCTCCACCTTCCGCCACCAGTGTAAGGGGGCCCTCCACCTTCCGCCACCAGTGTAAGGGGGCCCTCCACCTTCCGCCACCAGTGTAAGGGGGCCCTCCACCTTCCGCCACCAGTGTAAGGGGGCCTTCCACCTTCCGCCACCAGTGTAAGGGGGCCCTCCACCTTCCGCCACCAGTGTAAGGGGGCCTTCCACCTTCCGCCACCAGTGTAAGGGGGCCTTCCACCTTCCGCCACCAGTGTAAGGGGGCCTTCCACCTTCCGCCACCAGTGTAAGGGGGCCCTCCACCTTCCGCCACCAGTGTAAGGGGGCCCTCCACCTTCCGCCACCAGTGTAAGGGGGCCCTCCACCTTCCGCCACCAGTGTAAGGGGGCCCTCCACCTTCCGCCACCAGAGTAAGGGCGCCCTCCACCTTCCGCCACCAGTGTAAGGGGGCACGCTACCACTGACCACCAATGTAAGGGGGAACGCTACCACTGACCACCAATGTAAGCGGGCCCTCTACGTCGACCCCCAATGTAAGGGGGCCCTCTACGTCGACCCCCAATGTAAGGGGGCCCTCTACGTCGACCCCCAATGTAAGGGGGCCCTCTACGTCGACCCCCAATGTAAGGGGGCCCTCTACGTCTAGGATGACATTCTCTGGAAATGTTTTCTGCAATGAATGGGCCTGGCCTTCAAGTTATATAATGCCCTGCAGAAAATGATAACATGATGCCCACTTTTACCGAATTGGTGACAAAGTCCAGATCCAGCGATATATATATATTTTGCATTATCTTGGGGGAAAAAAAAAAAAAAAAAAAAAAAAAAAAAGCAGCCCCAGAAAATCTCTGTGAACTGACATATTCTTGTTCTTATCCTCTTGCTGACCATGGCCAACTGTTGTCACTATCGGGAAATGTCATGCAGCCTTCCTGTCTTCTCTGATCCTCCTCTTCTTCCGGTGTCCCCCTGTTATCTCCTGATAAGACATATTGTGTGGAGTCACTGTGCACATGCTCAGTTTGGTGTGTATTGCTAGAGAGGTTTTTTTTTTTCTTGGGAGAGTGCATGTGATCAGCACAGGACCAATCAGCACTGTCTAGACAAAGGTCAGGGGTTCTGCATCCTCCTAGAGCAACATGAAAACTCCTCCTACAAGCTTTAATCAGTATTCTGCTGGGCAGTGATAGAAGTCACAAGACTGCTCTAACTGCTGATGAGAAAAGGTATTTAGAAGTTTATATTTACTAAAATAATTGCATTTCCATGTTGTGTGTACTGTGGGAGACCAGATATAATGAATGCAGGGTCCTGGGAGATCGGATATAGTGAATGCGAGGTCCGGGGAAACCGGATATAGTGAATGGAGGGTCCGGGGAGACCGGATATAGTAAATGGAGGGTCCGAGGAGACCGGATATAGTGAATGCAGGGTCCGGGGAGACCGGATATAGTGAATGCAGGGTCCGGGAGACCAGATATAGTGAATGCAGGGTCCAGGGAGACCAGATATAGTGAATGCAGGGTCCGGGGAGACCAGATATAGTGAATGCAGGGTCCGAGGAGACCAGATATAGTGAATGCAGGGTCCAGGGAGACCAGATATAGTGAATGCAGGGTCCAGGGAGACCAGATATAGTGAATGCAGGGTCCTGGGGAGACCAGATATAGTGAATGCAGGGTCCGGGGAGACCGGATATAGTGAATGCAGGGTCCTGGGGAGACCAGATATAGTGAATGCAGGGTCCGAGGAGACCAGATATAGTGAATGCAGGGTCCTGGGGAGACCGGGTATAGTGAATGCAGGGTCCGGGGAGACCAGATATAGTGAATGCAGGGTCCTGGGGAGACCGGGTATAGTGAATGCAGGGTCCGGGGTTTAGTGACACTTTAACCTCCCTAGCGGTCTGATTATGTCCAAATTATAATTTAATAAATAATCATAAAAAATAATAATATAATAATAATAAATTTAATTCAATAATATAATCAAACCAAAAACACTGAAATTTGAAATATAGCGCCAAGTTCGCACATCGCTGAGCAAAGTCGCAGAATTGTTTTCAGTGTCTGATGACAAATTTCCCCACGAATCATTATCACTCGATTCTGCAAGTGGTTCTGATTTACTATCGCTGTTCTCTAGCCGGTCTAAAACCGCTTTTGACCTAAAGGGACACTTTTTGGACGCCATGGACGTTTCTCAGTTTCCAGGCAGAAAGAACAGTAAAAATGCAGGCAGGGCGCCGGACAAAGCACTCGGGACAAAATGTATGTGAAATGGTTTGATACAGGAATGTTATACTATGTGATTTTAGTGAATGTCACTTTTTGTCATTTTCAGATTTCCCACCAGTTCCGTCCCCCGTACGTCCCGACGTTGCAGGGAACGAACCCAGAAGACGGATGCCGGCATCGGCCGGATTGCATTGCCGGGAACACTGCAGGGGGGACATCGCAGTGCAGAAGAGATCCCGGAGCAACGCCGCATGGTAAGTCTGAGTGCAGCTCGGGGTTACTGCTTGCGGTGCTGAAACTTTACCCCGAGCTACACTCAGGAATACCGCCAGGGGGGTTAAGCTGGCCATACATTATGAAATTTATCTTTACCTTCAACTATGTAGTTCAAGGGCCTGTCTGATTGCATACACATTGAAAGTGTTCAGGTTTGACCTTCTACTATATGGTTTTGTTCAATCTAAAAGGAAAATTGTACAATGTATGGCCAGCCTTCATTATGGAGTCTCATATCATATGTGGGCTTTACCTAGAATGGTCTGCATGCAATTACAACTTGCCTAGACACGCCGACTCCTCCAGACTGACACCTGCCCATCAAGGCATTTTGATTTCTGCATAACTCCTCCCAAGAACCAACCCAAGGTTTGCATCAAGGCTGAGGGAGGGGCTTGTGAGGAGGACTAAGGCAGATTGCTGTGATGGTTTCAGGAAGCTATGTACTACACCCTGCTGGTCCCTCCCATCAGCCATGATTTTCCTACTTTACATAGAGAAGTACAGAGACCAAGTGACGTCATCACTAGGTCTAAAATAAGGTATGTACTGAAAATCTTAAGATTTTACTTAAAAATGGTAATAGCATGATGATGAGGGGAGAAAGGAGGAAAACGGAAAGGCAAAATATAAGCAGAATACGCTTCAACAATCATTCATTATACACATCACTTTAGCAATCTCAATGTTATCCAGTTAGAATTTATGTCTACTACAGAGCCTTCAACCTCCAATCAGAGTTTGCATCTACTATGGAGCCTTCAACCTCCAATCAGAGTTTGCATCTACTATGGAGCCTTCAACCTCCAATCAGTTTACATCTACTATGGAGCCTTCAACCTCCAACCAGAGTTTACATCCACTATGGACCCTTCAACCTCCAATCAGTTTACATCTACTATAGACCCTTCAAACTCCAACCAGAGTTTACATCTCTGGAGCCTTCAACCTCCAACCAGAGTTTACATCTACTCTGGAGCCTTCAACCTCCAACCGGAGTTTACATGCGCTGTGGAGCCTTCAACCTCCAACCAGAATTTACACCTACTACAGAGCCTTCAACCTCCAATCAGAGTTTACACCTACTACAGAGCCTTCAACCTCCAATCAGAGTTTACACCTACTACAGAGCCTTCAACCTCCAATCAGAGTTTACACCTACTACAGAGCCTTCAACCTCCAATCAGAGTTTACACCTACTACAGAGCCTTCAACCTCCAATCAGAGTTTACACCTACTACAGAGCCTTCAACCTCCAACCAGAGTTTACACCTACTACGGAGCCTTCAACCTCCAATCAGAGTTTACATCCACTATGGAGCCTTCAACCTCCAACCAGAGTTTACATCTACTCTGGAGCCTTCAACCTCCAACCAGAGTTTACATCTACTCTGGAGCCTTCAACCTCCAATCAGAATTTACATCTACTATGGAGCCTTCAACCTCCAATCAGTTTACATCTGCTATGGACCCTTCAAACTTCAACCAGAGCTTACATCTATGGAGCCTTCAACCTCCAATCAGAGTTTACATCTACTATGGAGCCTTCAACCTCCAATCAGAGTTTACATCTACTATGGAGCCTTCAACCTCCAATCAGAGTTTACATCTACTATGGAGCCTTCAACCTCCAATCAGAGTTTACATCTACTTTAAAGTCATCTACAGAGGCTCAGTAAGCTGCAAGCTGGCTGGTCATGCTGGAACTTCTGGTTCTGCAATGGAGGAGGAGGTATCAGGCGAGGAATGGGATTGGCCATCGCTCAGGAATTGTTGGAACTCCCTTACAAATGCAGAAAAGAATCATCTATAATGTATCTCTATCTATACCAATCCATCTGGAGATGAAATGTCTGTTGCTGTCTGTAGGACACATGTGGTCATGAGTCCAGCTGCCAATGTGGTCCCAGCGCCCCTCCCCCACCCTGTGTCACACATGCCTGGTGTCAGCTCCCCCAGCACTGCCCGTCACTCTATACAGTCCGATCACATCCATAGTGATACATAGGAGTGCAGAGAGTTACATTGTATCCCTGTGAAGGATTCCCTGCTACCTCCGCTGTGTGAAGGATTCCCTGCCCCCCGCCTCCCCCTGTGCTGTGTAGGTGAGTGCGGTCAGTAGGTGGCAGTGTGCTGGCAGAGCTCTTACCCCGGCCACAGCTGTGCTCCTCCTGTGCCAGGCTGGACACTGCCCCCTGCCCTCCGCACAGGGACAGTCGCCGCAGCTGCTGCTCTCCCCGCTCCGCCAACGCGACAACAACTACCAGCGGACACGCCCACACTCCGCCCTTTCCCCGCCCCCTCAGCGTGGGAAAAGCCTGCTGATCCATTCATCTGGGACACGCCCAGCTCGCTCCGGCCCCGCCCATCCGCCTGCCTTCTGCCTGTTGCCTAATACTTAACCCCATCACTCCCGCCGGGACCGAGGAGGCTGACCACACACTCTACAATCTGATTGTACAACGTGTCAGCTGCCTGATTGGATACAAATTCAACGGCTGGTTTCTCTTCCTATTGGCTCTCCAGTGGGGGGAGATTTACTAAAAGTGGAGAGTGCAAATCTGTGTGCAGCTCTGCAGAGGAACCAATCAGCTTCCAGCTTTTTATTGTCAAAGCTTCATTGAACACTCAGAAGATAGAAGCTGATTGGCTGCCAGGCGCAGCGGCAGATTTTGCACTTTCCAGTTTTAGTAAATCTCCCCCCATAATAAATCTGAATAATTGATATCCAGACAAATCCGATACCCACATGGGAGAAAAATATATTTGAAATCTATTTAAAAATATTCTTCTCAAATATATTGACATATATCTGAAATGCTACAATTTGGGCCATATTCAATATATATTTCAATAAATAAATAAAAAAAAAAATATATATATATATATATAAATGTATATATTTATTACAAAATCTATGAAAAATATTTTTAAAAATACATTTTCAAATATACTGTATGTCTTTAAAAATGGAAGAAAAATATATTTGAAATTATATTTTTAAAATATTCTTCCCAAGTATATTGACATTTATTTGAAATGCTGCAATTTTGGCCGTATTCAATATATTTCAAAATATAATTCAATAAATATATATATATACTGCATGTTGAAATGCATTTTTATTACAAAACATATGAAAAATATTTTTACAAATACATTTCAAATACACTGTATGTCATTAAAAATACAAATCTACATTTTTGGGAATGCATTTACAAATACCTATAAAAATATGTGTTAAAATGCCTTTTTTTATATGTTAAAAAAAAACCTTAAGAATATATTTATAAAAAGTACATATTTTTAAAATGTATTCTTCAGAGCAAAAACGGCTCTGGCAGCGAAAGGGTTAACACCCAGGAACTCGGCATGGCTCCTGTATCATGTGATTGCTGTGATTGGTTTGCATGGTGTCCAGGGTCCTCTTCGCCTGTGTGCTGGTGTTGGGTTATCTTCAATGATGGCATCATTACACTGGTGGGTACGGTGCACTGGTAGGCACTGATATGTGGCAATGATGTGGCACTGATGGGCACTGGCAGGTGGCATGGATGAGCACTGAGAGCTGGCACTGATGGACACTGGCAGGTGGCACTGATGAGCACTGACAGCTGGCACTGATGAACACTGACAGGTGGCACTGATAGACACTGACAGGTGGCACTGATGAACACTGACAGCTGGCACTGATGAACACTGACAGGTGGCACTGATAGACACTGACAGGTGGCACTGATGGGCACTGGCAGCTGGCACTGATGAACACTGACAGGTGGCACTGATAGGCACTGACAGGTGGTATTTATGGGCACTGGCAGGTGGCATGGATGAGCACAGAGAGCTTGCACTGATGGGCACTGGCAGGTAGCATGGATGAGCACTGAGAGCTGGCACTGATGGACACTGGCAAGTGGCACTGATGAGCACTGACAGCTGGCACTGATGAACACTGACAGGTGGCACTGATGGGCACTAGCAGGTGGCACTGATGAGATGAACACTGACAGCTGGCACTGATGAGCACTGACAGCTGGCACTGATGAACACTGACAGATGGCACTGATGAGCACTGACAGCTGGCACTGATGAACACTGACAGGTGGCACTGATAGCTGGCACTGATGGATACTGACAGGTGGCACTGCTGGGGCTACACAGATCATCAGGGCACACTGATCATCAGTGCCCTGATGATCAGTGTAGATGTCTCCTCTGAGGAATGCCGATTACCGGCTCTCCTCTCCTCTGTCAGTGTGACAGCTCGTGAGGAGAGAAATGTATATAACCGGCATTTCCCTGTTTACATGCGATCAGCTGT